ATGGAATTTAACTTGGTGAAAAAGGGAAGAGAGGACATCAAGGGGATGTGAAGCAGTAGACTGGAGTTTCCATGGAATAGAAAACCTGATGGGAGTCAGAATACTAGAGGAGGTTGTGATCAGAGATACATACATAGAACTGAAATTACAGAGAGATAGTCAGCTGTCAGGCCACAGTTATAAGTGTGACTGTGCACTGCTGAGAAAGAGTACAGAGTTTAAGGTATTTAAAAAATCATGTGTGTTTAATGAAATTAGCTAGAGAATCTGATAGTTGTGGATATGATACTGAACTCAACACTAAAGTTATCATGCAGTAAGTGATAGAATGAATGTCTCATCTCATATCTGAACTATGCCTGCTACAGGTTTCTTCCTATCAACAAACTAGACAACTGAATTTTTGCATGCTAGGCTTCTTATGCACCTTTTCTCTACTATAGAGAAATCTCAAGTCTGATCTCCAGTCTTCATAAAAATTCCCAGTCTCTCCCGTCTTCTGATATTGTTCCTCACAAAGGACCAGATTTCTTGTTCTCAGGATAAAGCCATTCTGTGGGGAATATTTACGGCTTCAGAACAATCACAGGAGTCACTGGCTCTGGAGCCAATACTTTTGTCAGAGGGTCTACTTTATTTTCACACAGTACATACATTCTTCACCAGCTGCCATTTCCGCCACTCTGAAGAGGGAAAAGACATGGCACTTGTGCAGTTTGAGTCTTACTAGAAATGTCATGGCTGGGTTTTAGGGATGAGAATGCTATTGGACTCATGCATTAGGAAGATTTGAAAAGGAGTAATGATGAAGACAAACTAGGTGGTGGTTGGCATAATCTAGATGAGAAAAATGTCTGTCCAGAGACAAATGTCTGTCCAGAGACAGTGGCTGTAGAAACAAGGTAAAGACAAAATGTATTATGGTTTCCAGAATTCACCATCATCTGCCTAACCTGGGGCTTTTGCAGGCAGCTCTCAACCCTCTTGCCTGGCTAACTTTTCCTTTAGAATTCAATACCAATGTACCGCGCCCCCTGCCTCACAAGTGCAAGGTCCCGAGTTTGATCCCCGGTACCCCGAAAAAAAATAAAAAACTGGTTCCAATACCAATGTTACTTTCTTTAAGGAGTATCCTCTCTGCCTCAAGTCCAGCTTAAGCTGACCCATGCAGTTGACATTGTGTTTACCTGTATCAAAGGATATTTTGTTAACTGCCTATTTCTGTGAGTCCCAACAGTGGTCCTCTTGACATGTTCGATTAGGTAATCCTTTGCTGGGGGTGACTAACTTCTGACAATGTTCGGAGGCACTCCTGACCTCTACCCACTACATGCCAGTAGTACCCAACCTCTTCCCTACCCTACATTCCATTCTCCCAGCTAGGTTAATCACATCTCCAGGCATAACTGCCAAATGTGCCCTGGGCTGAAAACTGTCTCCTGCCAAGATCCACTAGTTTAGAATGTACAGTCAAGCCTCTGTACCTGTTTCTCTTCCGTGGATTTACCCAACCACAGACCAAAAATATTTGAAAAAGTAAGTTGGATCTGTACTGATCATGTAGACTTTTTTAACATAGCCTTTACACTGCATTAAGAACTATAAACAACCTAGAGATGATTTCAATTGTATGGGAGATTATACCTAAGTGGATGCACATTCAGGCCATAACTCTTAAGCGAAAATAAATAGGACACACGTGTAAATACTAAATAATTTCTGTTGTGAAAAACTAAAAGTGTAAATAAGAATCAAAATGTTTAACTGATATTGTGAAATAGGAAGAAAAGGTCTAGAGGAATAGGGCAAGTAGGAGGGGAAGGGGAAAGGAAAAAAGGGGGAAAGAAAAAAAATATGAGAAAAGGAAAAACATGGAAACAAAGTCTTTGTAAATAGGGAAGGGTGGAAGGGGTGAAGGGAGGGCAGGGGAATGGGGGAAAAAATAAGAACCAAGATTTTGTAAAGGTACAAGATCCCAATGAGGAATGTAACTATATGGTATACCTAAAATGTACCAATAAACTAAATGGAAAAAAAGAAAATAAATAAATTGTATGGGAGGATGTAGGTTATATGTAAATACCATGCCATTTTATATAAGCCAAGAATCCACAAATTTTGGTAAACAGGGTGGGTCATGGAACCAGTACCTCTCCTACACCAAGGGACAACTATACTATCATTTACCTAACCAATTCCCTACCAGTGGGTATTCAGGTAGTTTCAGTATTTATTATAAAAAGACTTGAGAGTAATGTTTGTGTATGAATCATCAATGATTTCAAAATACAGACTAATAAAAACATTGGACTGAGGGTATGTGATTCATACCACCTTACACTCTCATCTGCAGTTCTTACATAGTAGATTCATTGCAACATTGACAGTATTGAGCTTCCTCTATAAACAAAAACAAAAATATTCATTGCAAGCTTTTAAAACTGACCCTCTGGTTTAATTTTCTTTCACTAGTAATGAGGGTGGACATTCTTGAAGAACTTTATTTAATGCCTTTATAAGTAAATTGTCTGGTATTCAAACCTTTTTCCAAATTTCCCCCAAAATTTTAACAATTAAAATTCATTCAACAAACTTTAGTATCTATCATGTACAGTCATTGTTCTAGGTGACAAAGATACTACAGTAAAAAACGGAAATGGTTTCTGCCCTCAGTGTTTACATTAGAATGCCTTCATGCAACTAAGGGTGGACATGCACTGCTGCATATGGCAGCTACAAGTCACAAGTGGTCACTGGGTGCTGGAAGTGGTGCACGTTTGAACTGAGATGCTGCACATGATCTAAGAGTGTTGATCTAATAGTAAAATGTACAAAACTCAAAACTATTAGATCATAATTATCAGTACAGAATTTTAAAGCAAAAATTAGTCCCTAGAGAAGAAAGAGTACTCTTCTCCAGGTCTGAAATTTGCTTCCTCTTAAAACCACAGCGAACACCTCAGTCAGTAAAACAGAATGGTCTGGCCCTACCCCTTGGCCTCCAGCACCATCAGCCCTGTCCAGAACCCTAGTGCTGCTCCCTTTCCTATGAGGAGCCATTCCTCGAGGAAGGCCACTTTTAACTGCAGGGGCAAATCTTCATGATCTGAACCAATGGGAGAGATTTATTCCTTCGCAAACTGATTTAGAGATAATATTCATATAATTACAAGGGCAAACAAAACTTTCTTCTTATAAAAAAAATGACATATATTTAACCTCTGGCTATTTGCCACCTGGGATGTCTAACGTCACACTGGAGCCACGAGAGGAGAGCTCACAGGGCAAAATGGCAATGGAGAGACAGTTTGGTTGAGACAGGGTCTTGCTAGGTAGGTAGTACAGGCTGGCCTTGAACTATGTAGCCCACGCTGGCCTCGAACTTGCAGCAATCCTCCTACCTCAGTCTCCCAAGTTCTGGGATTACAGGTGTGCACCACCAACCTGGCTGGTATGAAGGTTCTCGATGACATTATTCAGCCACTGAACTAGCCAATCCAGGAAATGGCTTCTGCTTAGACCCCACCTTCTTATCAACCATTCCAACCTAAAAACTATTCATTAATTATTAATTATTAATTAGTACAACTGTTCTTTGTGTTGTTGGTCCTGGGGATTGAGTCCCTGAAGTTGGTTTTTTTGTTTTGTTGTTTTTTTTGGTGCCAGGGATCAAACTCAGGACCTTCCGCTTGCAAGAAGACGGCAGCACCACTGAGCTAAAACCTCAGTCCCTGAAATTGTTTTGACTGTAAAAATAATTCAGATCCATTACTTGAGAAAATTAAACATTTATTGAGTACATGTTTATTTGGTAACAACACAGTTTCTCAATAAAAAGATGAGCTGAATTCCTCCAAAACAGAACAAAGCAATTTCCCGTCCTTCCCAGGTTAGACTCAAATCTATTACCTTATGCTCCT